CATTGCATATTGAGCATGAACTTGAATTCTCTTAGTGGTCACTTCTCTCTTTCAAAGGAAAAATGAGCTCCCAATGCATTCAACCTTTTCCTCTCATTTAATCATTTTGCTTGAGGACAAGCAAAGGATAAGTGTGGGGGAGTTGATATATTCATAAATTGCATCATTTAGTGTACATATTTAAGTCCAAATTATGTCTCATCTGCATACATTTTAGGTCTTTAAGCATTGTTTTAGGACTTAGGAGATTGCATTAGGTCTAAGAGAGTTTTGCATGGTTTGGAGTGTTAAACAGGTGCTTTTGGAGCTTATTTGGAGTGGGGGATGTGATTCAGATGAAGAAATGGAGTTGAAATGATCAAAAATGGTGAAAAGGAGCAATTTTGGGTTTCTCGGCAAAATGCTGTACTGATGGCCGAAGATTCTCGGCCAAAATCGTTCTCGCGGGTAGATCTCTCGGTCAAAAACACGTACCGCGGTTAAGTTTCTCGGCCAAAAATCTCGAGTGCAGATTCATCTCGGAAATCCCGTTACCGGAAGGTCTTGCCGTCCGATTCAGCTGTCGGAGTATTCACGAAAATTGGAGATAATTGAGTCAAGAGTTTAGAACAGTTGGAATCAAGGCATTTGGACCACGGAGCTGAAAGATTTGGTAACCGGAAGACGAACAGGTCTAGCACTCATTCCGTAGAAACCCGATACGCCTCAAAGATTGCGAGGGGCGATGCACTTCCAGACCGATTTAGCTTACAGTGCCTTCATCGAGATTCAAGATATTTGAGTCCTCTTTCCAGAACGTTTGCGATAATTCAATTTAGAGCTATGAGCAATAAGATAACGTTTCCGGAATAAACGCATGTCTAGAAGCCAATTGGGACCCGTGCAATGCACGTCAAATATCAATCCTCCAGGAACCCTTCCATCCCTTTGAAGCACTTGCACTCTTCATCAAAATTCTAGATAATTGAGCTGCCTTGCCATAGGAGTTTGAATCAAGCCATTTGGAGTATTATTCCAGGAGTTATGATGCATCAAATGAGGAGTGCTCCGAGGAAATGAAAAATGATGCGACTTGGGTGTGCGACTTGATTAACTCGCACCCATGAATGTTCATACTCTGGAAACAAGTTGCGACTTTAGAGATGGGTGTAAGGAGTCTCTGAGCAAGGTAGAGACTTCCAGAATCAAATTTGACTAAGTCCACAATGCTGTGCGAGATAGACCTGCGAGTTGGACATGAAGTGGAACCATGTAGCACATGTGTTCGCAAATTACACCGACTTGGGCATGCGACTTGGGAAAGGAAGTGACCATCTCGCACACATATTATCTCCATAATGCGTCCTAGTTGTGCGAGTTGAAGAGAAGGAAGCCTGAGCAGCACAAACATTCGCTGTTTACACCTAGATAGGCATGCGGCTGAGGCTGAGGGATTTGTGGCGCACAAGGCTGCTTTTATGGCTGTGCGACTTGGGCCTGCGACTTGGGAAGCACCTGACCATGTCGCACACTTGAGACATGACCCATTTGAAGCCGGGTCAGTACCCAGTTTGTCCTGGGCTGACCCGGTCCGCAAGAGGCACTATATATGCTTTTTAGGGTTCTTTCCAAGACTTAAGCTTTGTTTTTCTCTTGTTTCTCTTTCCCCTTATGTTAAAAAAACAAGTTTGTTAAGAGATATCTCAAGGATTGAATCAATCTAAGTTTTTTTGGGCCAAAACCCAGTTTGTCCTAGGTTGGCCCAGCAAGAAACCCTACCTATATATATGTTTTAGGCATTATCCAGCAGACTAAGCTTTATTCTCTTTGTTTTCTTTGCCTCTTTTGTGAAAAACCAAAACTTTGTAAGAGAGATCTTCATTTTCTGGGTTGAATCAAGAGAGTAATTAGGGTTTAAAGCAGAAATCTATCATTATCCATCATCTCCATCTTCATTTTCCACCCCTTTGTGAGTTTTAATTAGAGAGAAACCTCGGTCAAAAAGCTTACCGAACGCTCATTACCGACCAAAACCCTTACCGATCGACCAAAATCAGCCTGGGTCGAGTATCAGGTGCAAAATACCACGGGTTAAGTTTTTGGCCGAGGCGAGAGAATTTTACGGCTAAAAAGCTTACCGCGGTACATAGCCCTCGGTCATTTTCCTTACCGCGGGAAGCTTTTCTCGACCAAAACCTGTCTTTGCCCGCGCATTTCAAAGATCAGCAATCCGGGGAACCTTCCGGTCCGAATCAGTTGGCGGGTCTTCATCAAAGTTGGAGAGAATCAAGCAAAGATCCCAGAACAGTTGGAATCATCCAATTCGGACCAGTGGGGAGAAAGATACAGCTTCTGGAAGATGCACCAACATTACGCGCATCCGAGAACCGAACGGCGGATTTCAAAGATCACGGCGGACGGAGCCTTTCCGGACCGAACTAGCCTGCCTGGTCTTCATCAAAGTTCGAGATCTGTGAAAGAACTTCTCAGAACAGTTGGAAGCTCTGAGTTCGGAGCAGTGGTTCAAAAGATAAGGTCTCCGGAGTTCACATTGGTTCAAAAGCTCGTTTTCCGGTGAATCCGATGCGGTGCAAAGATGTGAAATCCAGGAAGCCTTCCATTTCCCAAGCTCCGACGGTCCCTTCACCAAAGTTCGAGATTATTGAGTCATCTTGACTATGGAATTGGTCTCAGAGCAATTGGAGTCGTGTGTTGAAAGTTACTGTTTCCGGAAGGCAATATGGTCGATACGAGCCCAAATGAGTTGCGATACGCGCTAAGTGTTTTCTCAGGGCTCGGCATCATTACCTCGACATCGTCCAAGTCAAGGCTCGTATCTTGGGAGTATTCTGGACTAGACCTCGTGCTGATGCCTCGGCATGTTGGGACCAAGGCATGCACACGTAAGAAGTGAAGCTGGAAACGACTAAGTGTTGAATGTGCACCTCGGTGTAATGACCTCGGCGTGCATGCCGAACTCTGTTCTCCCAAACCCCTCGACTACCAAGCCCCTCGGCATTTTATCCCGAGGTCCCTTGTCACAAACCCAGAATCAAGAACAAGACGGCTCAAGAACACACACGTGAAGATGGATCAAAGACTAGGGTTCATGCATGTTCTTGACGTGTTCTTCACGAGATCTTCATTTGAATCCTGACTCACGTGCACTCCTCAACATTAAGACCTCGGCTTCACTCTCCGACACACCGTGGCACTCACCCATCAACCCAAGAAGGCGGCTCAGTACCCGGTTTGTTCCGGGCTGACCCGCGACACCTTCCCTTTGCTATAAATATATTTTAGGACCAAAAACCTAATCATCTTATCTCTTATCTGTTTTTAGCTCTAAGAACTTTCCTCTTTGCTGATACTTGATTAATCTAATCCGATATCTCGTTTTTGCATCAGAATCTTGTTCTCTTTTTATTTCTTTTTATCATCCAGCATCTAACTCCTTATCATGATAAGCTACACGTCTTGCAAAGGACTTAGTGAGCTCGTTATGATCAGTGAGTAGTCGTTTAAGCGGCTTTAGATAGGTAGATTAGGGTGCTTTCAAGATAGATTAATGGGTTTAGGTGTTTAGTCTTGCATGTTTCATTCTTTAACCGACGAGATCTCTAGGCTGGATCCAAGCACATCACTTGAGGTTCAGATCTGAGACATATCTCGCATCAAAAGTGTTTGTAGAAATGTCTGAACCACTCAGTTAAAGGTTTAAGAGTCTTTCATCGCGAGAGTGATAGTCTGTTCTCTTAAATGACATTTTTGAACTGAATCTTATTGCTGACTGATTCATGCTTCTCAAAAGGGATTTTGGTATGAAAGAGGATCAGTTTAGATGTTTAATACTTTCATGAGAAGATTAACATGCCTTGAGTTCAAAGTTAAATGAAATCGCTTGATAAAATGATTCATTAGCCCATTAGTCTAGCTTGGAAGCACCCGAGTCAAGTATCCTGTCTAAAGCTTCTTCCTTTATCATATATTATCATCATCCGAACCATTTATTTGTCATTTGCAACTTAGCTTTGCTTAAATCTCATCTTTTGTGTCATCACTTGCTTATTTACTTGTTAATTAGTCTAGCTAAAAACCCTTGCTATTCTCTCTTGACTTAAGGCAACAAATGACATAGATAGTGTCTCCATTACAAGTTTGGTTTGATAACCCCTTGTACTACAAGGACAGGGGTATTGATAACCTCTTTAAAGGGTGAAAAGTCTTAGTTCTCAATTGGCGCCGTTGCCAACTTGTGGGAGCATTATTCTCTTATTTGTTCTTAAGATCAAGATTTTACCTTCTTTTGTTTTACTGACTCTTTTGCAAGTTCTTGTTTTGATTTCAGGTGCATGATAACCAGGTCTCGTAGCACAGAACCGCCTTTACCATACGACAATAACATCAACAGGATTGAGAGGCGAGCTCGCGAGAGAGAACGGCACTTTGAAAGACTTGGAATGGCAGAACAGCAAAGGACCGAGCAACAGGCTCAGGAAGCCGAGCACCAGGCTCAGGCTAATCAGGCGCAGGCAGGAAGAAATGAACAACAAGCCTATGTTAACCAACAACAGGATCAAAGGAACGAGAGGCTTGCTCAGCAAAACCAACAACAAGCTAATAGAAACGAGCAACAAGCCCATCATGTTCATCCGCCACCGCCACAAGCTCAGAGACAACCTCCTCCGGTCTTTGTTGGAGAGAACGACCGAGCTAATGCACACCAATACCGAGCTGGGATTCAAACTCCACCGGTTCAAAATAACAACTTTGAAGTTAAAGCTTCCTTGCTCAATATGGTGCAGAACTCAAAGTTTCACGGTTTAGCCGAGAAGACCCTCTTGAGCATCTAGATCAGTTTGATCGAGTCTGTAACTTAACCAAGATCAATGGTGTTTCAGAAGATAGCCTCGGTGATAAAGCTCACCAGTGGGAAAAGAACCTCTCGAGGGGTTCTACAAACATAGGAGCAGTGTAAACTGGCGTTCTTATCAAAGTTCTTTTCCACATCACGCACGGCTAAGCTCAGGAATCAGATCTCAAGTTTCATGCAGCACAACAATGAGAGCTTTAGCGAGGCTTGGGAACGTTTTAGGAGCTATACTAACCAATGCCCACACCACGGTTTCTCAGAGGCATCCCTCTTGAGTACTTTATACCGAGGTGCACTCCCCAAGATCAGAAACCAACTCGATACAGCCTCCAATGGAAATTTTCTTAAGAAAGAGATCAATGCGGCAATGGAACTAGTAGAAAACCTGGCCATGTCTAATGACACGTATGGAGAGGATTTTGATAGGGCAAACCGTACAGAAGGATCTAGTGATGAACAGTGTATGAAAAAGGATATAAGAGAGCTTCAGAGCAAGCTTGACAAAGTTTTAATGGCGACTCCAAAGCCAATACATTTTGTAGGCGAGTTTGATGAGCAAGGGCCAAGTTTTGACAATGTTAATGAAGATGGTCTAACTCAAGAAGAGCTGAACTACATAGGGAATCAGCAGAGGTATCAGAGGTTTAACAACTACAGCACAAACCCAAACCTCTCATACAGAAACCCAAATGTAGCTAACCCTCAAGACCAAGTTTACCCTGCTCAACAACATCAACAAAGCTATGCTCAAAAGGCTCCTTTTCAGAATACCTTTCAGCCCAAGCAACAGTTCAGTGGGCAACAGCAACGCTACACTCAGCAGAACCAAGCGGCTCAGGGTAACAACTTCACCAGCCAACCGCAGCAACACAAGTTTCCACCAGGGTTCAATCCGCCGCCGATGGGTAATCAGCAACAGATTCAGGGAACAGGTCAGAATCAGATGGGAACCGATGTCTGTGGGATCTTACAACAATTGTTACAGGGTCAGCAGAGAGTTGAGAGCCAGCACGCGACAATGCAGCAACATATCAGGGAGCTCAAGCAGAATCAAGCTTCTACATCATCATGAGGCCCGGCTTTACCAGGTAAGCCGGAGCGAACCTCAAGGAATATGTGAACGCCATCACATTAAGGAGTGGTAAGGAATTACAAGCTCCAACGCCTAAGACAAATCTCATTGAGGCCAATGAGCAATTAGAGGGGGAGGCAGCCTCAGATGATGCGTGTAAAGAAGCGGTTTTCAAGAAGGAACCGATCAAGGACAAAGGAAAAGAGGTGGAAAAGATAACTGAGCTTGAAAAGCCCTACTTTCCACCACCACCTTACCAACCCAAGATACCATTCCCAGGGCGTTTCAAAAAGAAAATCTTAGACAAAGCCAAGGCGGTCTTTGAGAAACACTTGGAGAACACGCAACTTACCTTACCTATCATAGATGCTTTCTTAGCTATACCTCAACTTGGGAAGTTTCTAAAGGATGCGATCCTCAACAAGACAAAGGAGCTCCAGGGTATGGTAATACTGAGCCATGAGTGCATCGCCATAACACAAAGAAGATCTATACCAAGGAAGCTATCCGATCCGGGCATCTTTACTTTACCGTGTGCTTTAGGTCACTTGAAGTTCTCAAATTGCTTATGTGACCTAGGAGCTTCTGTGAGCTTGATGCCCTACACGGTGGCTAAGAGATTAGGATACAAAAGCTACAAGCCAGCCAAGATCTCTCTTGTATTAGCTGATAGATTGGTTCGCTTACCGGAGGGTTTGCTTGAGGATTTACCTTTGAGAATCGGTGAGATGGACGAGGAACCATTAGACCCTATCATCTTAGGCCGACCGTTCCTAGCAACTGCAGGAGCCATAATAGATGTGACAGGAGGTATGATTGAACTACACATCGGTTCCGAGACTATGAAGTTCAACGTGAAGGAAATGATGAAGAAACCGACCATTGGAGGTCAGGTTTTCTATGTGGAAGTTATGGAGGAGCTAGCTGATGAGCTCCTAGAAGAATTAAACGCAGAACATCCGTTACAAGTGGTCTTGACACGGGAACAAAGCGAGCACAGGTATTTGAACGAGGAAAACGAGGTGTACAAGCGTCTTTTGGACCAACCGAGGGAACTTGGAGCTGAGGCGAGGTTTTTGGAGCTCAGGAAGATTGCCCTCAACATACTAGACAGCGAGGGATCCAAGGGAACAGAGGAAACACCTCGGGATATCATGGCCGTGACAGCTTGTGCCGAGGCCGATGGTAAACCGCGCGAGAACAAAGAAAAAGCCAAGGAAGCTGTTCCGAGCCAATGCAGCTTTGATGCCGATTGGAATGAGGCTGACGCACCCCCTGTTGAGCTCAAGCCTCTACCAACAGGGCTCAGGTATGCGTTCTTGGGTTTAAACTCCACTTTCCCTGTGATTATAAACGATAGCTTGCTTGAACATGAAGAACGTGCATTGCTTAATGAAATAAGGAAATTCAGGATAGCCATAGGGTATTCCTTGGCTGACATTAGAGGAATCTCTCCTGATATATGTACCCACAGGATCCACCTAGAGGACCAAGCCATGTCCTCTATTGAGCACCAACGTCGCCTTAACCCGAACCTTAAAGAGGTGGTTAAGAAGGAGATACTAAAGCTCCTTGAGGCAGGGATAATATATCCAATCTCTGACTCTCGGTGGGTATCTCCTGTACACGTTGTGCCCAAGAAAGGTGGGATCACGGTGGTGAAAAACGATAAGGATGAACTCATAGCCCAAAGAACTATAACCGGCCATCGCATGTGCATTGACTATAGGAAATTGAACTCTGCATCAAGAAAAGATCATTTTCCTTTACCATTCATTGATCAAATGCTTGAACGGCTAGCTAATCATCCTTATTTTTGTTTTCTTGATGGATACTCGGGGTTCTTTCAAATACATATAGACCCCCGAGATCAAGAGAAAACGACATTCACTTGCCCTTATGGCACTTATGCCTATAGGAGAATGCCTTTCGGTTTGTGTAATGCACCGGCCACTTTTCAAAGATGTATGATGCACATTTTCTCTGATCTAATTGAAGAGAAAGTCGAGGTCTTTATGGATGTTTTCTCCGTATACGGCTCCTCTTTCTCCGAATGTCTTGCTAATCTATCTCAGGTTCTAAAGCGATGTGAGGAGCATAGACTTGTCTTGAACTGGGAGAAGTGCCATTTCATGGTTCAAGAGGGCATTGTCTTGGGACAAAAGGTATCAGAGAAGGGTATTGAGGTGGACAAGGCTAAGATCAAGGTGATGGTGAACCTACAAGCTCCGAATTCTGTAAAAGGAATAAGAAGCTTCCTTGGGCACGCAGGGTTCTATAGGCGGTTCATTAAATATTTCTCCAAGATAGCTAGACCTTTGACGAGGCTATTGTGTAAAGAAGTGGAGTTTATCTTTGAAGAAGAGTGTGAGGAAGCGTTTAAGAGAATCAAGGAGGCTTTGATCAGTGCACCGATTGTACAAGCTCCTGATTGGTCTTTACCATTCGAAGTGATGACTGATGCATCTGACTATGCCGTGGGAGCTGTCTTGGGGCAGAAGAAAGATAAAAAGCTCCATGTGATCACCTATGCTAGCCGCAAAAGGAAATGCTTAGACTCGGCTCAAGAAAAGTATGCCACCACCGAGAAGGAAATGCTTGCCATTGTGTTTGCATTTGACAAATTCAGGAGTTACCTAGTGGGATCAAAGGTCACGGTTTAAACGGATCATGCGGCCTTGAGGTATCTGATGTCTAAGAAAGACGCTAAGCCGAGGCTGCTGAGATGGGTCTTATTGCTTTAAGAATTTGACATGGAAATACTTGATAAGAAGGGGATTGAAAATGGAGCCGCAGATCACCTCTCTAGGCTGAGGATTAAGGAACAGGTCCCCATTGATGATGCTTTACCCGAGGAACATCTCATGTTAGTCCGGTCTTACTTAGAAGTGGAGGAAGCCAACACGATCAAGGAAAGAAGCCTCCCATGGTTCGCGGATCTTGTGAACTACTTGTCTTGCGGTTTAGAGCCACCGGATCTTGATACTTATCAGAGGAAGAAGTTCTTTAGAGATGTAATGAGGTATCATTGGGACGAGCCGTATCTTTACGTGCTTAACAAGGACCATCTCTATAGGCGATGCTTGGCCGACGAAGAGATCCATCCGGTGTTACAAGAATGCCACGGTTCATCGTATGGTGGTCACTTAGGCGCATTCAAGACAGTTGCCAAGGTTTTACAAAGCGGTTTCTGGTGGCCAACTATGTTCAAGGACGCTCAAGATGTGGTATCAAGGTGTGAGGCTTGTCAAAGGCACGGTAACATATCCAAGAGAAATGAGATGCCCCAAAACCCAATCTTTGAAGTAGAGGTCTTCGACTGTTGGGGCATTGACTTTATGGGTCCCTTTATAAGCTCATATGGAAATCAGTATATCCTTGTCTCGGTGGATTATGTGAGTAAATGGGTTGAAGCGGTCGCATCTCCGACCAACGATTCAAAGGTAGTGGTAAAGCTCTTCAAGAGTATCATCTTCCCATGATTTGGAGTCCCAAGGGTAGTAATCAGTGATGGGGGAAGCCACTTTATCAACAAGACTCTTGAAAGTCTTTTGAAGAAGCACGGAGTAAAGCACAAGGTGGTCACCCCTTATCATCCGCAAACTAGTGGCCAAGTGGAGGTCTCTAACCGACAGATTAAGGCCATTTTGGAAAGAACCGTGAGCTCATCTAGGAAAGATTGGAGCAAGAAACTTGATGATGCTTTGTGGGCTTACAGAACCGCGTACAAGACCCCCATTGGAACTTCACCGTTTAACCTGCTCTATGGGAAAAGCTGCCATTTACCGGTTGAGCTGGAGTACAAGCTCTTTGGGCAGTGAAACTTCTGAACTTTGACATCAAGACCGCACAAGAGAAGAGGGTTTTACAACTTCATGAGCTTGAGGAGATCCGTCTAGATGCTTTTGAGAGCTCTAAGATCTACAAGGAAAGGACCAAGGCGCTCCATGACAAGAAGATACACAAGAGAGAGTTCAAAGAAGGGGACCAAGTTATGTTGTTCAACTCAAGACTTAAGCTATTCCCTGGGAAGCTGAGGTCTAGGTGGTCCGGTCCGTTCACAGTTCTTGAAGTAAGGCCTTATGGAGCCGTTGTGTTAAAAGGAAAAGACGGACAAGGTTTTGTGGTAAACGGTCAGAGGGTAAAACATTACCTGGCATCAGAAGCAAGAGAGGGAGCTACC